ACAAGAAAAAGTCGCAGGGTGTGGTGATGTCTGGGGATCTTGGGGGCCAAGAGTGTAGCGCCAATTCTTGGGGTCCCGTGTGACCCCAAGATGGACCCGATTTCAAATCAAATCGGGTCAATCTTTTTTAAACACCCTGTAGTCTTTACGCAGTTATCATGTCCCCCCCCCCCCTATCGTCTCCCTGTCGTTACAGAGGCTAACAGAGCTAATTCATTAATAGTTTCAGCCTTGTAGCCAATTAGTAAGCGCCGTGCTAAAACCTGATGCAGGCGGACAACCAGTGGGCATGACCTTTTACGAAAAGAATATTTGTTGGTATGGGGACAGCAGATAGAAAAAATGATCCGGGAAAACGCAGGGATGGAACGCACGGCTTTGCGACCAACTCAAACGTAACTTACCGGCCCATTTTTACCACGTATACACACACACACACAAAGAAGCATTATGTACGTACGGCGTGTGTCTTTGTTTTTGCACGCATGCACCATATATGGGATAGCCAAAATATTTGGAGAAACAGCGGTGAACTTCTGTTTTTCATCGCAATGATCTTCAACAACGTGTAGTGATGCAACGAAGAAAATCAAGTATTAAGTCACCATACACGCATCCAACTGCGTGCGAGAATCTATTATTTACCATTTATGAATATTATATGCAGATCACATGCTCACGTCACATGTGGCCTAATGGAGGGGGACAAAGCCGTATCAAAACGAGACGGATCAAACGAATGAGACAAACCGAGTGAATTCTTGAACTGAACGGAAACCAGCAATCATAGCAATTCACTGAATCTCTAGGGGGGGTGGGGGGGAGCAGGAGGGGGGAGAGAAATAACAGTTACATGCCAAAATTATATTACAATGTGTATAATATGTATAACAAAACTCATCCAGTAAAGCTAGGTTACTCTGACTTTTATAAACTTCATTGCTCAAAACGTTGCCGGCTATGGTGACACGCCTGTATTGCAGTGCTTTTGGACCTGGGGTTGGTGGATCATGCAGAAATCATCATGTGCCCTAGACTCTCGAAACTGTTGTGCTAAAATTGTGGCCAGGGGGTGGAGGTACGGCAAGTGGGTTGATGACCTGTCTATGTAGAATTTGAACATTATGTCCTCGTATGCGTGAGTGTTTTCCTGGTTGCACCCTTTTCCAGACAAAAATACTCAATAAGTAACTGGCCAAATATTCCAAACAAGGACCCCCGATTATTGTCTTCAGACCCAGTTGAAGCTATTTTGGGTAAATAAATAATGATACTCCAGTGCAGTACATTTAGATTCGCGTTATTTAATCATTTTTAGACATGATTACGCATATTTTAGTCACACTAATCTACTACTGTGTATAAAAAAAACTATAATTGAAATCGTTCACAGCCCTCTTGTCAGTCCCCTGCTGGATAACGCAGTGTGGCGGTCAGCGTGGCTCTGTGAAGGGAGGCCCAGGGCCGCATTAGATATCACTCACCGCTAATGCTAGCTGTGGCATAGAGAATAGATCTCAGGTGGCTGGGGTCATAGTTCAGTGTGCTAACCGCTGCGCCACCACCCCCACCATCTTGCATAAACTGTACTACTGTACAGTAGTAAATATTCCCTTGTGCAGTCATAACGCTTTCCACTGCAAACACAAACCGTAAACGAACGTTTAAGCCGTTTGCACAAATGACAACAAAGACAAAGAACAGACAAATGAACACATGCGTACGGAAAGTTGATGCTGTATACAATAATGGAACCGGGTTTACTCAACAGTGATTAATTACGTTGCGTGTTCTTGCTGCAAGAATCAAGTTACTATGTAAGCAACACTGTCTCCCACTGCGATCTCCATTTCCTTCTCAGTGCAATATAGTATTGAAAAGCCGCTCATAAAATTCACAAATTGTACAAAGCATTGAATATAGGTTTTTTTTTTAGAGGTAATCAAAAGAGAAACACGTTGTCGTTTACACAAGTTGCAAAGAAATATCGAATATTGGTAATGTGTTCTTGTAACAAAAAAACTATTTAACAACCATTGCCATTGCATGTAAAGCAATAAAACATGGTTTATATTTCTTTATATTTCACAAAAGGATAAAACATAAAATGTGAAGAAATGTTTGGCCTTGTTGGTCCATGCAGGATACATGCAGATTAAGCTCATTGCGTTGCTCTGCATTTTAACCTATTAAAAAATACGATGAATCTGAGAATGCGTTTGGCTTTGCAATTCGAAATATCCTACATTCTAATAACAATAATAATATTCCTTTATTTACCCAGGAAAGCCTCAATGAGTGTTTAGGCTCTATATTTGTGGGCTCCTTGCGTATAATGTTTGCCCAATTCTCTGTTCAGGGTTTTGCATGTGGGGAAAAAACAGGAGTATTATCCTGAGAATTCAAACACATTTTGATCGAATGAGGTTGAAAAATAGTTGTGTATTATTAAATTATAAAGCCACTTCTAAGCACATGATAACTATGTGATCCACCAACCCCACTGACCAAGCAGTATACAGATTGGTCTTTCTATTATGTGCTATTAATGGCACATCATGAAACAAATAATCTATTTGGAAATTGCACAGCCCTGTATGTGAGAGAATGACCATGGTAGAGATTTTACAGGATCTCTGAAAAATGTCTTCACAGTAGAGGTCCCACTTTCTCCCACACTCTGCTATGAGATTGTGTGATACATAACTGTCAATCCAATAGTTTTTTTTTTATTCTGAGAAGAGCTTAAATGTACCCAATTTAAGTGGAGAATAATATTTATTTTCACGTAATTTTTTTGTGCGCAGACGATGACGACTGAGCAGAGACCATCAACTAGCTCCACTAGAGAACCCAGTTTAATCCGGAGTGGCTGCCTGATATCAAACCAACACCTCCAATTAGCACGGTTGGCTACGTATGGCGCAAAAATAAGTTGAACATACATACAAAGCCAGGATCTTATTGTATACATACAAACCCAGGATCTCAGCAGTGGCAGCTCAATACCGCAATGTCTGAGCCAACCGACCACCCGAATGACCTTTAAAAAATAAATAATAGAATGCATTAATTGGAATCAACACAATAAGGCTTAAACGTGCAGCATATACAATAGAATATACTTATCATGAGGCGCCAACACCCCGCTTTGCACTGTAGCCCCAGCTGAAGTAGCCTTGAACAATTCTGCTGCATCTAGCGGAGGGCAGTACAGCTACCGTAATCCGATGTTGTACTGTTCCTCTATGCACCCACATTTTGACTCTCCACCTTCACCAACTTGTACTCACCTGTGTGGTAAAGTATGGTCAACTGACCCCCACGCTTCCCACACGATGTTGAGGAGGGCTTAATGCAGCAGCGGATTAAAGAGGGCTGTACATGTACAACGAAGATTCGATGCTTGACTAAGTAATTGATTGTTGATTTTGATCAATGCCTCCTGCCTTTTAAGAGTCTTTATATTGTTTGCATTATTGATGAGTGTTAATATTTCCACAGTATAATGGTGTATTCATATAAATTAAGGGTTTGTTGCATTTTACATTGTCAGCTTTTTGTATTTCGATTTAAAGCTTTCGTGACTGCAATGATTCATCTTCTTTGGTTCTTTCGGTAAAGTCACGTGACTTTACCGAAAGAACCAAAGAAGCTTTTTGTATATTTGCTTTTTTCATCTGTCCCCTTTAACAATGAGACTTGTAACCTCTATGACTTCTCAATTAGTTATAAAAAGTTATCTTTTTGTAATAAAACTTAACATGGCACTGAAGTGTAATGGACATATCCACCGTGGTAATAATAATAATGTGAAAATATTGACAATACTTCAGTATCGTTGGAATAACTATTGTATTATAGCCTTTGATGAAAGCCTCTGTTAGTAAAATCCTGTACATTAATCCATATGTTTTTTTTGCTTTTTTATTGATTCATGTTAATATGTTTTAATGTTAATTGCATTGAGATACTGTAATGTATTTATTTTACAAACGGAAAACTGTACAATGCACAGGCTGAAGATGAATGAAGTTAAATATGTTCATCATCATTCACTGCTGAATGAAGGCATCCCCAAAGCCAACCATCTCTCACGATCACTTTGATAAGATAATCCACCTAGCATCTGCACACCGACCGACTTCATCACTCCATCTCCTCTTGATTTCTCGCACTTCAATTTAACTTTGTTTGCCGAGTGATGTCCGACATGTGCTATTGAACATCACTCAGGGAAACCAAACATTCCCCTGAACGTTGCTGGCCAAGGCTGTAGCGAGACACCTTCCCCCCGCGGTCCCGTGACGATGTAATCCATCTCACTCCTGTGATCCCTGTTATCGCTTACATATTAACCAGTTACAACACATCCGTCTCATTTAGCCTGGCGGACACTAAACCAAAAAACTTTTTACACGCTTTTAACCTTTTTTTTTTACAGAGGAGTTTTACTTTTTTTCTTTTGTTTCACAGCCATCGAGCAATAACGCTTTAAAATCAGAATGCAGCCTCACTTTCTCAAAGTCAGTAATCAAAGTCATGACTTTGTTTTTTTCTTTCATTCCATTTGAGCCATGCGGCTCCCTTGGGCACAGCCCCAGTTATATTTCAGGATGAAAGCTCAAGTGTGAGGGCCCTTAGTTAGGCCTGAGTTGAAAAAAAAGAAATGACCTCCACGACATGGGAACTGGAAACTCAGAGAATCCCCAGGAGAAAAATAACAGTGGGAAACATTTGTAGCGGCCGCGTGATGCAAAGCGACCAAACAACCATGTCCTTAGAAACCCGGGCATCCGTTGCACATGAACAATTCACAATTTTACGGATAATAAATCAACTTTCCTCCGTCTTCTTCCAGGAAAACTCAATTCCAAAAAAGGGCTGCTTAACGCACATGATGTCTTGAAAGAGATTACGTAAAATGATGTTATTATTGGTTAATTTTAGTCGACAGTACTTGTCCTTCTGTCAGATTGGCGCCCGCCAAAGGAATGTGGAATTTCCAAATCTGGCTAAGGGCCCCCATATGGAGGTGAGCACCACCAAATGCTCATTTGAACAGAGATGCATTCACTTTTTTGTATTTTGATTTTAAGGAAGGGCGTATTCTACACAGCTCGCCCTGATAGTGATTTTTTTCCGTGGCATTGCACGAGTGATTTGTTATGCACTCTGAGCAAAAGGGCTTACAGTGTAATATATTTGCATTTTGTGACCTCAATTACTTCATTGCAAATGCAAGCCTCGGTCATATACTGTGCAGTTTATTATTATTATATGAATGCTGCTGTGTAAAGCGACTGATATGGGCACATTTGTTATTCTTAATCTCACTGGTGGGTATCTGTGTTGTAATAAACAACAAAACGTTACTGTCACTGACGGAAACATAAAAACAAGATGGCCTATCTGTCTCATGGGGCCATGACCAACACGTGTCTCTCTTCACTGCTGCCTAAATACAATTACCTTTCATGATATATTGTCTCCTATAGTGGCAAGATATTCGTTTTTAAATATGTACATGCTGTAGAACATGAGCTCTTTTAACCTTGGCAAGCCTCCACTAAAATCAAATCCTCTTCATGGGGGTCCTGTGGATGGGGGGATGCTGCTGTGCTGTAATGGGTAGCACACAGGACTTGCAATCCTGAGGTCACCAGTTAAGTCCTCCCAGCTCTGCAGTTGAAAACTATGGGGCAAGTTTATTCAATCCTCCCGCCTCTGTCCACCCAGCAGCATAAAGGGGTAAGCCACAGTCAATCGGCAGGTCACGTGTCGTTGACCAAAGTTTGGGTATACTTCCGCCTCTTTCAAGATGTCGGGCCAGTGTGGAAGAGGAGAACAAACAAACTTCAGAGGGGAATCTCTACAGCTTCCTCTTGTGGAGGCCCTTCCGCTAGCAGTGACGAGAAATTGCAGGGCTGAGCCTTTACCCGTTTGGCCAATCTGTCACTGAATATTTTTTTGCACGTGGGAACAAAGTGGAGATCTTGGGGAAGAGAAAAACATATACCTCATGCATGAGGGGAAATCATAAAACCTCCATACTGATAGGGGAGACACCTGCCTAGCCTTGCAGGTGCCACGTGCAACCTAGGTCAACCATCACTGAGCAGGAGGACGTTTGTTCTCTGCTGTTGTTCCACATTGTCTGGAATTCCTTCCTGACCCTTCCCCTGTTCCAGTTCTGGCTCAAGACTTTCCCATAATCTTTGGCCTATAACTGGATCTATGAACTGCTTTCATTCCACACTTCTACCAGAATGTTGTCTCAACTCCCTATCTGGCCTGAACAATGATATATTTTCTCTTTCTGTACTCTGGAGTAGTCCTGAAAAACAAGTCCCGCAGTAGGTTTAAATGCTCCAGCTTTATCCACATCGTCTTCCCCGTGTTTTTACAGCTTATTGAGATGCGGATGCATTTAGACCGCTTTATACTATAATTCCAATTAGAATACCTCGTGTGAAGGTGCATGGTGAATTACTACATCACAGAATAATAAGAGGCCGTGGAGGCTCGGAGCGGTCTTCAACAAGCATTGGACTGCCCGGAGCTGAAGATGATGATGAATCAAGATTGTATTACATTTGGTTATCTATACATGGTCAACAATCTCCGCCCCCAAAGCTGTGGATTAAAGGCACGTGCTTGTAGTTGGCAACTCTTAAGACACAAAGCGTAGAGTGGAACTACATGCTTCAAAATGAATGTGTTTGTACACAACTCACAAAAACGGCAAGGTGTCGTATAACTGTAAGACGTACAAGGTCAGCTACCTCAAATGAGGAAAACCAGAACGGGTGGCAAATCCTACGTGTGCCGCTGTGCCCAGAATATCGACGGTATGTCTGAGTGACGTGATTTCAACATGTGAGAACCAGCCACCTGTGTTTTTGCAATGGAAGACTTGGACCAACAACACGTGACAGCAGTGTAGGTGAATCCAGAATCTTTGCTAAAGATCACCAGGTAAATAGTGTCTTGAATCTAGCTTCTTCGAAGCAGACACCTTGGTTTGACAAAATAATCATGTTGTTTAATTTTCTTGTTATTGCTACTTTATATACAGGACTGTATTGCAGTAATCCTGGATTACAATGCAGGATCCTCCTGAAAGAGCCTTCAGCCCTCGGTGAGGCTTTCCTGGATTTACAGTGGAGGTATTTTTAAAACCCATAAGTGACGTGGCATTGGGAGGCCTACACCCAGCAGTGGCGTGACAGGCCATTATATTAGTAATTTCTAAAATAGCTGTGGCGATTTATGTCTGAAAGGTTCTGTGCCCCACTCTGCCCCCCCCCCCCAACACACTCTTGACTACCATTGACCAGCGTGAAGTGTGGTAAAAAAAGACAATAACTCATAATCGACGTGGCATGGAGAGAGGCCTTCATCTAGCAGTGCACTGACAAAGGATTATAACTTATTGTAATTATAACTGCCACTCTTATTACATCGACTTTCTCAGCTCTTGCCTCACGACAGGAATGTAGGTTGAAGTTTACTTGCTGTGCTGCGCTGCACATTTTCCTCACTCGGATTACATCTCGAAGACCAAAGTTCAAGTTTATATTGAACGCGCAATAACAAACAGCAAGGAACAGCCCAACAACCGGGCACTTTGGATGGTGAGTACAGTTTGTTCATGAACACATTTGCAAGAATGAAACCTCCACGCAACCGGCCGGGGTCAATGGCAGTAACGAATCGGTCTTCCGCGGAACAAATCTAAACGTTATGTTCGTTACAATCCCGTCGCAACGTCATTTATTCTTTGCAATGCGCGCGTGGTGGTGCGTCGTGGATGCAGACTGATGGGAGAGCAGAGCTCGTCACTTTAATGGGGCAGACAGAAGGTAGTGTAGTGCATTCCAAGGCAGGCATTGCGAACAACTGCGACTCAGCATCCTCGACAACACCGCCCTCGGCATTGCAGTGTCTCCACGACAATGCCTGACTCCCAGCTTCATGATCACAATATTTATTTTGTACCGGAGGAATCCGATGAGCTACTAAGCTCTTGTTCGCAGACGTAATGCCCACTTCAGAATCACAATATTTATTTTGTACCGGAGGAATCCGATGAGCTACTAAGCTCTTGTTCGCAGACGTAATGCCCACTTCAGAATCACAATATTTATTTTGTACCGGAGGAATCCGATGAGCTACTGAGCTCTTGTTCGCAGACGTGATGCCCACTTCAGAATCACAATATTTCTTTCGTACCAGTAGAAATCTGATGAGCTACAAAGCTCTTGTTCGCAGACGTAATGCCCACTTCAGAATCACAATATTTATTTTGTACCGGAGGAATCCGATGAGCTACTGATCTCTTGTTCGCAGACGTGATGCCCACTTCAGAATCACAATATTTATTTTGTACCGGAGGAATCCGATGAGCTACTAAGCTCTTGTTCGCAGACGTGATGCCCACTTCATAATCACAATATTTATTTTGTACCGGAGGAATCCGATGAGCTACTAAGCTCTTGTTCGCAGACGTGATGCCCACTTCAGACTCATATTTCTTTCGTACCAGAGGAATCTGATGAGCTACAAAGCTCTTGTTCGCAGACGTAATGCCCACTTCAGAATCACAATATTTATTTTGTACCGGAGGAATCCGATGAGCTACTAAGCTCTTGTTCGCAGACGTGATGCCCACTTCAGACTCATATTTCTTTCGTACCAGAGGAATCTGATGAGCTACAAAGCTCTTGTTCGCAGACGTAATGCCCATTTCAGAATCACAATATTTATTTTGTACCGGAGGAATCCGATGGGCTACTAAGCTCTTGTTCGCAGACGTGATGCCCACTTCAGACTCATATTTCTTTCGTACCAGAGGAATCTGATGAGCTACAAAGCTCTTGTTCGCAGACGTAATGCCCACTTCAGAATCACAATATTTATTTTGTACAGGAGGAATCCGATGAGCTACTAAGCTCTTGTTCGCAGACGTGATGCCCACTTCAGACTCATATTTCTTTCGTACCAGAGGAATCTGATGAGCTACAAAGCTCTTGTTCGCAGAAGTAATGCCCACTTCAGAATCACAATATTTATTTTGTACCGGAGGAATCCGATGAGCTACTAAGCTCTTGTTCGCAGACGTGATGCCCACTTCAGAATCACAATATTTATTTTGTACCGAAGGAATCCGATGGGCTACTAAGCTCTTGTTCGCAGACGTAATGCCCACTTCAGAATCACAATATTTATTTTGTACCGGAGGAATCCGATGGGCTACTAAGCTCTTGTTCGCAGACGTAATGCCCACTTCAGAATCACAATATTTATTTTGTACCGGAGGAATCCGATGAGCTACTAAGCTCTTGTTCGCAGACGTGATGCCCACTTCAGACTCATATTTCTTTCGTACCGGAGGAATCTGATGAGCTACAAAGCTCTTGTTCGCAGACGTAATGCCCACTTCAGAATCACAATATTTATTTTGTACCGGAGGAATCCGATGGGCTACTAAGCTCTTGTTCGCAGACGTGATGCCCACTTCAGACTCATATTTCTTTCGTACCAGAGGAATCTGATGAGCTACAAAGCTCTTGTTCGCAGACGTAATGCCCACTTCAGAATCACAATATTTATTTTGTACCGGAGGAATCCGATGGGCTACTAAGCTCTTGTTCGCAGACGTGATGCCCACTTCAGACTCATATTTCTTTCGTACCAGAGGAATCTGATGAGCTACAAAGCTCTTGTTCGCAGACGTAATGCCCACTTCAGAATCACAATATTTATTTTGTACAGGAGGAATCCGATGAGCTACTAAGCTCTTGTTCGCAGACGTGATGCCCACTTCAGACTCATATTTCTTTCGTACCAGAGGAATCTGATGAGCTACAAAGCTCTTGTTCGCAGACGTAATGGCCACTTCAGAATCACAATATTTATTTTGTACCGGAGGAATCCGATGAGCTACTAAGCTCTTGTTCGCAGACGTGATGCCCACTTCAGACTCATATTTCTTTTGTACCAGAGGAATCTGATGAGCTACAAAGCTCTTGTTCGCAGACGTAATGCCCACTTCAGAATCACAATATTTATTTTGTACCGGAGAAATCCGATGGGCTACTAAGCTCTTGTTCGCAGACGTGATGCCCGCTTCAGAATCACAATATTTCTTTCGTACCAGTAGAAATCTGATGAGCTACAAAGCTCTTGTTCGCAGACGTAAGTGCGCGGTGGTGCGGCGGTTATCAGAGCACCGCGCTCTGAACCCAATGCAAGGGCATCCGAGTTGGATTCCCGGCCACGGCTATTTGTGACACCGGTGGCGATTTATCCGACTGAACCTGCACCACCCACCCCACCCAACCACCCACACAACCCCTCTGCCAACAAGACTTGACCAGCCCACACCGAGTGGGGTGGTGAAGTATGGTCAAACAAACCCCCACAACCGACGACATACAACAGTGGCTCGCCAAACAGGGGCCTGCACATCATTTTTAATTGCACGGCTGTGTTGCCTTTGAAAGTGTTTTTAGAACGGTGGAATGTGTAAACATTTGTTGGGATGGTTACAAAAACACCAACAACATTCATGAAAGCATTTCCCTAAACCCTCGCTTTACGTACAATACAATCGTGAAACGTCGCGTAGAATAACGTATGCAGTAACACATTAAGTACACACATCATCATCATCACCACCACCACGCTGCCCGGTCCCCCACCTGTTATCGGTGTCCAGCTCGACACACATCGCCACCGAGTGCACCCGAAAATACAGCCGGAGCAGTATTTAATCTTATCTCGCGATCCGGAGGCCTCGCCTCCCGACGACTACGTACTTGTTAGACGAACGCAGCCCGCAGGGAAAGAAAGTGAAACGTCTTCTTTCTATTGCTGTTGTCGTTGCTGCTGCTGCTGCTGCCGTTGCCGAGCGAGGTGGAAGAAGCGAGTTGTAAGAGGGAAAAATCCCTCGCTCCCTCTGCCTTGCTCGGTCTTCCCCGGCTCACGGCACAACGCGGACGCTCTGCGCGGCCACAATTGTAAGCGCCGCCTCCTCCCTCCTCTCTCAACGCGGTGCTATGTGGTAACAAAACGTCTGGCGGGGCTGCACCATTCTCGCTCTTACCCACTCCCTTTCTCCCTCCTCCGCTTGACGCAACTCTGCGAAGGCAAACCACTCGAAAAGGACGCGCTCGGCACGCTGGATGATGACGAGCGCACGTGGCGGGGCGTGCGTGCGTGCGCTCGTTCGTCGACTCTTGTTGCGTGAAACCCCAAAAGGATGAAGAGGTCGAACATAAATAACCCCACGATGTTCTGGCGTTACTGTTGGCAGCAATGATTGTGTGTTGTGTGTGTGTATTATGCAATGATTTTTGCTCTTACCCTAAATGGGCAGGGGTGTCTGAGCGTTTCGCAGTAATGGTATAATCCAGTGGATGGCCTTATCACACACCAACAGACCTCTCTCCTTTTTGCTCCTAAGCGCAGTCTCAATTTTGGTCAATAAATGCAGCCAGTCATACATATTTCCACGGATGATTTTAAAGCGTGTTATCAGATGTACATTTTTCTTTACTGAACCTCAAACTCCATCCCATTTTTACCATATTATACAGTGTATAAACCCCACTAATCCTCCCCGTCCCGCTGTATTCTAAAGCAAAAGTTGGTGGTCCGGTAGGTGTAAATGAGAAGCCAGATTTTTTTTTTATTGATTGACACCGGACAAAAAATTTGGGCAAGCGTCTCAACTTCCCGGAGCGTCTTGCAACCCAGATAATATAGCAACGGCAGCAGTTCGCGAGCAGAACGCGAAACGTGTTCCCAGGAATGAAATGTGCGCCGGTGTTATTATGACAGGAGTGTAGGGTATTCTTGGTTCTTTCGGTAAAGTCACGTAGTTTAACACGTAGGCTTTCGCGACCAATATTATTCATAATAAAGGTTTTTGGGTTAGATCGCGTTATTTATAAATGTGTCGTAACCCTCCACCACCAGACACGGCCAATCAGCGTGTCACGTTGACAAAAGACAAATAATTCACTACTTTAGCCCACCGGTGTGTTGAAGAGTGAATCCACAACATTTACAGTTTGAGTACGACGTTTCGCTGGTAATTACGGTTTTTAAAATTTTATTCAGTATCTCAGCGGAGACAACAAAAACAAAGCAAAGACCGAGGGGCCGCCCCCTCGCTCGCGCCATAAAGGCCCCGCTCGGCCACCGACCCATCCTCTGGACCGGAGTCACCCCTGCCACAGCACTGGAGGGGCAGTCTCCCCTTCCAGTCACGCACACCTTCACCCCCGGGCGCCGGTAAGGCCCCCCCCCCCCGGCCGCCCTAGCCCACCCTGGGCAGCGGCCACTTCCATCGTTCCCTTGCGGCATCGCGCCCCATTTTCACCCAGTCCACCTCCACCACCCTTTCCAACAATCTCCTCGCAACATAACACGTCTCCAACGGGGACATCAGGGACCCCTCCAGCTCCTTCTTTCGCGCTTTCCACAGCGCCTCCTTCGTCGCTCCTATTACAGCCCACGCCTGGTCCCTGTCCTCCCTCCCCACCCCCCGCAGCTCTCCCCACATGACGTCCCGTGCCGTCACCCTCGACAGCGCCAAACGGGCCAGCAACGGCTTACTCCTCCTCCAGACCTCCTGGGCAAAAGGGCCACGCCACCATCACGTGCGATGCAGTTTCGTCCGTGTTGCAGCCCCTCGGACACTTGCGGGTATGCGCCATTTGGCGGCTGTACAAGAAACCCCGCGTCTCCAACTTCTCCCGGACAGTCAGCCATGACAGGTCCCTCTGCTCCTTCGTGAGCGCTGCCGACAACACATTCCTCCAAATCTTCCCGTGCATCTCCCTCCTCGCACCGGCCACCTCGTCACAGGCCTCCTCTTTCTCCGCCGCAGCCCGCACCTCCCTGGGAGCCCACTGGCCCCCCTACCGGTTCAGGCCGTGCTGCCCGACGTAGCTCCCCACCACGTCGCTGACCCAGCCCCCCGGCCAGTCCAAAGGAGAGCTCCTTCCTATCTCAGTCATCCCGAGCCCCCGCAACCGCCACGTCAGCCGATACCTCATGGAGCTCGCTGCCTTGCCCCGCGGCTCCGCAGAGAAAAACAGCCGCAGCGCATTGCAGACAAAAGTCGATTGCAGGGTATACCCCACATTTGGGGCACCCCTCCCCCCATTCCCGACTTGCAGACACACCGCGGCCCTCCTCACTCTCTCCATCCCTCCCCCCCAGATAAACCTGAAAATCGCCGAGGTCAAGGCCTTAGCCTCCCTCCCACCTGGCGGGAAAACCTGCGCCAAGTAGTTTAGGGATGGTAATATTTCTGTCTTTACCACCATAATCCTACCGGCCATCGTGAGCCGCCTCCCAGCACACTTACCCAGACAGCCCTTTGCCTTCCTCACCCCCTGCTCCCAGTTATTTTCCCCCATCCTATCCCCACAGAAGAACACCCCCAGTACCTTTATCCCCTCTGTTTGTAGACTCAGTTCCGGCGGCCGACCCTCGAAAAGCCTCGAGTCTCCATAAACCATCAGCTCACTTTTGCCCACACTAACCTTCAATCCGGAGGCCGCGCAGAACCTCCCCATTCCCTCCATTGCCCTCCATACCGATGCTACGTCCCTGCATAGCACGGCCACATCGTCCATGTACAGGGTCACCTTTCCTTGCTCCCCGGTATTACCACCCCCCTAATCCTCTGGTCATTCCTTATCATCTGCGCCAGAGGCTCCATGCACATGACAAATAGTACTGGGGACATCGGGCATCCCTGCCGCACCCCGGATCCCACTGGAATGATCCCGGAGCGTTCCCCATTTATCAGGAGCCTGGCTCTGAGCCCCCCATAAAGTCGCTCCACCCACTCCACCAGGGGCCAACACACCCCCATCCTCTCCATCACCACCAGCATGAATTCATGAGAGAGGCGGTCGAAGGCCTTGTCCAGGTCCAGACTTAGGATCCCCAACGGGCACCCCCTCTCTCTCTCTCTCTCGCCCTCAATCGCCTCCCTCAAAACCACCAAAGTGTCCGCGATCCTCCTCCCTGGGACCGTACACGTCTGGTCCGGCCCCACCACCTCACCCACCACCTTCCCCAGTCGCCCCGCGACTACCCTTGCCAAAATCTTGTAGTCCGCATTCAGGAGGGTTATTGGCCTCCAACTTCCCAGGTCCCTACGGTCCCCCTTCCCTTTATAAATCAACGTGACCAGGCCCTCCCGCATGTCGTCCGACACCCGCCCCTCCTCCAGAGTTTCCCTACAAATTTGCATAATATCCTCTTTCAGGAGTTCCCAGAATTTTATATAGAAGTCCGCTGGGATCCCGTCCAGGCCTGGGGTCCTGTTCTTGTTCAACCCCTTCACCGCCCCTTCCACTTCTTCCCGTCGAATCCTCTCCTCTAGCGCCTCCGGGTTCTCAACCCTCTTCCCCAATGCCCCCAGCAGCTCCTCCCGCCGCCCCCCATCTATCCCTTTCCTCTTATACAAATCCCCATAAAAGTCTTCTGCTACACTAATCATCCATTCCGTCGTCACCTGTCTACCCCTAGGACTAACCAGTTCCCTCATTTCATTGTCTCCCTCCCTACCCGCCTTAAAGAAAAATTTTGTACACTGTTCCCTATCCTCTGTTGCCCTGACCCTCGCCCTATACACTAATTGCCTAGTCCTCTTTTCCAGGACTGAGGCTACCTTCCCTTTCAGCTCCTCTATCCTTTCTCCCACCGGGAATCCTAGCTCTAGCAGTCTATACAGCCTTTCTAACCTAGCATTCCACTGTCTCAATTCCCTACCCACTCCCTTCCTCCTACTATAACGCTGAAAGAACGTTCTTATCCTACCCTTTATCTGCCCCCACCACTCCACCCTCGTGGGGAAGCACACCTGCAGCGTCCTCCAGCTGGTATATGCTCGCGTGAAATCCTCCGCCACCTCCTGATCCACCAGCAAGCCCACATTCATCTTCCACACACCCTTCCCCCTCTTCACCCCACCTGGGATCACAAGCCCCGCCACCACCATTCTGTGATCCGAGAGGGGAAAAGATTCCACCCCCGCACTTCCCACATTCATCCTGTCGGAGACGAAAATAAAGTCGACACGTGACTGTGTGCCCCCACTCTTATCCGCCCACGTGAACCCTGGCCGCGTGCCATGCACCCTCCTGAACGTATCCACCATCCCAAAGTCCTCCATCAACTCCCTCAGTTTCCTGGAAGAGGAATCTAACTTCCTCCTCCCCTTTACCGACACCAGATCCGCCAGACACAACGGGCAGTTAAAATCGCCCCCCACAATGACCTGCCTCCTGGTGGCCAGTAGGCCCGCCAGGCTCTCCCACACCTCCGTCCTGTCCATACATCGTACCGGGGCATACACATTTATCAGCCGTGGCTCCACACCCTGGTAAGATGCATCTACACAGAGGAGCCGACCCGGTATTATTTCCTGGGTCCCTTCCACTCTCATTCCCCTTCTTCCTAGGAGGGTAACCACGCCTGTACATCTGTTCCCGTTGCTGCCAGACCAAATGTAGTGTCCCTTCCATTCGTCCAGCAGAGCCTCCGACCCTAGGGTATAGGGTAGGTGACATTCTTGGAGGAAAATTACGTCACGTCTGGTGATCTACAGCCACTGCATGATTGCCCCTCTCCTTCCCTTCTTCTTCATTCCTCTCACATTAACAGATGCTACAGATATGTCCATGCCGAGGCGTGCATTATTCCGTGTCGGACTCCGGTGCGCGCTCCCCCCGTCTGCCTTTGTCCGCCTTCTCCTTCACCTTTTTTCTCCCCTTCAACCTCCGGGGCTTCCCCCGGTTCAAACGTCCCCCCCCTTCCACCCACCTCCACCCAGATTCCCCCGAATCCGGCGAGGATCCTGAAAGGCTCGCATCTTGCTGGGGACTAGCTTCTTTCAGAACTCTATCCAGCTTCCGTTTTCTTCCCCCCGATTCCTCCCATGCGTCATCCGTTTCTTCCTCCACCCGCTGCCCCTCCTCGTCCTCCTCCTCGCCCATCACCTCCGCCCAGTCCCCCACTGGGGTTTCCGAGTCCTCTTCTCCATTTCCCCTCCCCTCCTCCACCCCCCTCCCCCTCCAGTGGTGGTGGTGCTCCCTTCCCCACAGATCCCCCCCTCACCCTCCCCAGGGGGTCGTGGTTCCACCACCTCCCCTTTCCCTTCCCCTCCATGCATCCGGCCCGCTTCCCGTCCGGCCACCTCCTCCGCCGCCTCCTCTACCTGTCCACTCCGACATGCCCGCACCCTGTTAGCATAGCACTCTGGGCAGGTCCTATACAGATGCCCTCTGCTGCCGCACAGGTTGCAAAGGGCCGGCTCCCCACACTCCTCCACCGTGTGGTCCAGCGCCCTGCACCTGTAACAAACGCGTGCCACACACGCTGCCGCCAGGTGCCCCCCTCCCCCACACCTCCTGCACAGTTTGGGCTGTCCCGCATAGACAACATAGCCCCTGTTCCCCCCAATGTTCAATGCGCTCGGGACGTGCCTCAGTGCCCCCCACTCCGTCTTCAGACGCACCCTCCATTGTCTGGCCCCCGTCCATATCCCCGCCGCATCCAGCATCCTCTTGCAACCCGACAGCACCACACAATGCTGCCTCAGCCACACCTCCACGTCCTGATCATACAACGCTTCATTATAAAGGAACACGGTCACAACCTTTGTCTCCAGGTCCGACAGTAACCGCGTCCTCATGGACGTCAGCGGCTTCTCCCCTGCCTTCTCCTCGAAACGGGCAAGGAAATTTTGCAGCAGAATGTTGGAGTTGAAGCTCACATCAAACGCCCTCCCCCCCGGCAGAGCAATCAAGCAATAGAGGTCCTCCACCTCCACCCGCAGCATCCCAAGCACCACCGACCTCACGAAGGTCGTCCTGTCCAGGGTCACCCCCTCTTCCACATCTTCCTTGAATTCGACTCGCACGCAGTTGTGCCTCCTGGCCTGCGTCGGGGTCAGGCCCGCCCCAGCTCCACTGCGCCACCTCCCAGCTCCTCCGCCGGGCCTCCCCGCACCCACCGGGCCAGCGCCCACGGTCTTCTCCCTCCACTGCCCCTCCCCCGGCCCCTGGGCTGCAGGCGCCTCTCCTGCCCCTTCCTCCCCATTCTGGTCGGGGGCACTCCCACCCCATCCTCCCGGCGCTCCCCCTCGTTCTCCTCCCCGCTCCTCCCTCCCCGCTCCTCCCTCCCCGCTCCTCCCTCCCCGCTCCTCCCTCCCCGCTCCTCCCTCCCCGCTCCTCCCTCCCCGCTCCTCCCTCCCCGCTCCTCCCTCCCCGCTCCTCCCTCCCCGCACTCTCCAGCCCATCCACCCCCTCCACTCTCTTCCCTCGTTGCGCCTCACCCAACATCACCCCCGCAATTGCTCCCGGTTGTAAAAAGAGCAGCAGGGTGACGTCATCATTACTAATCATAACCATTGACTGATTACTAATCGATTATATAATTACAATACCCCCCCTCTGCCTCAAATCACTGCACCTGAAATGAGTTAAATGATGACGTCACCCTGCTGCTCTATTTAAAACCGGGAGCAAGTGAGGGCTTTAC